TTGAGTCATCATCATTGACATTTATTTTCACGTGAACTTTATTGACATTAAAAAATCGTAATGATTTTTTTTTTAAAAAAAAACATATGGATGACATTGTAGCAGTGTGAATTTGATTTGTAGCAGTGTAAAATTTTTTAGTACCAGTGTGACATTGTCTTGTAGCATTGTAACATTATCGTGCGAGACAGCAAATCATCCTTCGAATCAGAATTATCATCTTGATTATTACGATTTATAAAAAAAAAAATTATACAAATATGAAAAAGACATGAATATTTGAATAAAAATGAATGTTTGAATAAATTAAGTTGAATGAAAGAGAAAGATATAATTTAAAATTCAAAAATGATATTCCATAAATTTAGGAAACTGAATCTCTAATCTAACTGTCATATTTGTCTTCCATTAATAAAGGAAAATGGTAATTTCGTAAGAAAAAAAATTACAACTTAGCAAAAGTGTACCTTGTGACCAAACATTTACACATAAAAGTACTTATACACAAATATTTTATATTGAGGTATTTTATACAAATAAGTATGATAAATTGTACCTTTTCACAATTTCTCCTTTGTTTTTTTGGTTATAGGACTAATAGACCTTTACATCAAATAGAGAGGGGAGTGGTGTTCGTAGTGGCCCACAAAGGACTAGTATGCCTTTATCTCAAATAGAGAGGGGGGGGGGGTGTTAGTAGGGGCCCAACCCATTAGCAATATAGTCCAAAACTTTACGTCTATTTCACATATGGGAAAAGCAGACGAGAAAGAGTTCTGTTTGTTTTGTTGCTCTTATGAATGGACGGTCGCAGTCCGATCAAAAAAAAAAAAATGGACGGTCGCAGGTAAACTAGGCCCACTAACGCGTCAATCTCTCCAACTCACAACTACGGTAAATTAGTTTTTGAGTAATTAGAATTCCTCAATATTGTAATAAGGGATTTAGAAATTCGAGTTTTAAGTAAGATACGTCGAATAAAATTTGTAATATTCACAAAATTTGCATATGAGCAATATTATATGGATTTTAATTGTAAATTTTAATATTTATTGGGATCCATTATTTATTCAATGAATGTGATTTATCAAGTCAACAAAATAAGTCATTATTTTAAATCTAAGTATCATTTTCCTTTACACACTCTCCATAATCCATAGCATCTTCTCCTATTAACTAAATTTTGAGAAGTAATTATAGAAAATTATCCATCAGTTGAATTATTTTAATAAAAAAATAGGATTATTGTTGATTGTTATCAAAATATCAATTAATAGATCTGATAGAATAGTCTAAGCATAGCTATAAGTAGTTTTAGTGAGATTTAGACATCATAGGGTTATGTATAATTGACATTTTCTTAAATGTGTAATGTTATTTGAATTTAAAAATTTGACATAATTTATTAATCTAATAATGTAGCTTCTATGGTGAAATCATTGAATTAATATTAACTTTTAATGTTTGATGGGGTCTACAATCAATCAAAAAATCATTGTAAATTTGGTCCCACTAACATTACTCTTTTAAATATCATAACATCAAAAAAAGATCAAACTTTGGCCATAAAACATTTGATTCTTTTATGAAATCTGATAAGACGTGGGCAACTTGTCGATTACAAGACGATGCGTGACATATCTGGGCTAACAAATGTGTCCCCCGAGCTTCCATGAGTTGGGACCGAGAGTCAAGCAATTGCGGCAAGCCAAGGAAACCCATATCACAAGAGGACTAACATGTGCATGACTAATCCTGAGAATTAATTGTCGTTAAAAAACGTATCTTGTGCAGGGTGTTGACGTGATAGGCAATCATGGTCACCGCATCAACATGAAACCTATATTGAGCCGCCAAAAAGATAAGACATGACCTTTATTAACGGTTAACAACTGTTGGGTATATCCAATTGCTTGCTCTGTATGTAGACTTGAATGCTCAACGACAAGGTGTGAGTATTTTGCATAGAGTAATTGATGTTCGAAACGACTTGGTACTCACAGGGACGAAATTCATAAATGCTCGTCTACTACAAGACACTTAGTCTTGCTTATGTTCTATCACCGAGCATTAATGTGGAGTACTTATTGTGTGACTTGATGACAAAAAATTGATAGATCCAAGTTGAGTAATCAAGTATTATCATGTCATAATATTTGAAAGTATGAATACTCTAATGAAACAGAATAACAGGTGCGCATGTTAAATTAGCTTTGCAATATACATTTATCCACACAATTTTAAGCACCGACTGAATTAAGCATCACAACGGATACAACCAAAAGTGGATTTGCTCTCACGGCATAGAATTATTGACCAAACAAAAAAGATAAAGGACAAATCAGTCGAAACCTAAACTGACCCGACAAAATTTTGACCCATAAGACATGTCAACTAGCTTTGCAAGCATGCGTTTTGGGCTTTTTCATAATTACGGATTCATTGATAATCCTTCTTTCGTATGTTACATTTATTTGTTTTTGTTACGCAATAGAAGTGCTTTCCTAAAAATGATATACTTCGTCCATGAGTGGGGGCCACTTTGGTAAATATTTTGACCTTTTTTATTGAATTTTTTTTTCCTTTCTTTTTATTTTAATTTAAAACCTATTAATTATATTTCGACTCATGAATTTATGATCAATCCATTACATTCAAATAAATCTCTCACCTATGGACGATGAGTTCTTTGATTTGTGAATATGCACGTTCACAAGAACCGTTGCCTTTTAAACTTGGTGAATATGAGGTACTAATTATTTTCAAAAGAAGCACATACAGTGGTGGTTTGAAAAGAGAAATGTGATTAGGTTAATCTAACATATAGTTTAAGTGGTAACAAAGATGAACTGTAAATTTAGAATCTTGAGTTTAAATTTTGATAATTTCTTTAGGTCATACCATAAGAAATTTATCCCTTATGAATACCCTAATCTCGGCATGGATAATTTATTTTTGATCAGATCAGACAAAAAATTAATTGAGATGCGCGTAAGCTGCCTTAAATACCCAAACCGTTGAAACAAAAAAATAAAATAAAAATAAAGATGATTAGGTTGCCATTGTGAATCATAACCCACTTTGTTTTTTTGTTTTTTTTTTGTGTGTGGCTTAAATTCTTTTATCACACACGTGTACCCCGGCCATGTGGACAGCTGATCCATATATGTTTGCCGGTAGGAGTAATCACATTTTTGATTAGTCGTAATTTCTTACTCTACTCGATTCTATTGAACAGTTAGTAGAAAAAATTAGGTAGAAATGTAGAAAAAATTTTAGTCTTTAAATTAAATTGGGTAGAAATGCTAAATAGCCATTAATTTTTGTATTCATACCCTACCATACTCTAACCATATGGTTTAAATTTAAAATAATTGTTATTGTATATGTGCAACAATTATGATGGAATGATGTTTATGTTTTCTTGTAATTGTTAATTGTTTTAGATTTTAATGTTATTGATTTATTGTGTTGTTAAATTAATGCATGTTATTTAATTGAATTGTTAAAATAATTTAAAAATAAATAACTATAAAAATGTTCACATAATTTTCTACCCGATTAATTTGGCCGAAAGTCAGGTAGGAAACACCCCTAGATAGGAGAGGAGTTAGAAATGCGTGGGACTTTTACATTGATTTTTTCAATTTGTAATTTTTATTATAGAGAACATATTTTTAATTATAAAAACTCAATTATACAACCAAATGAGTGATAAAAACTCAATTATAATTTTTATTATTATTTAAGCCTAATATTTAGGAATTATTTTGGTGGAGTCCAAAAGTTGATATACTCTTCTCTTTGTTTATTTGTCATGCTCTTATCTGATTACTTGAGTAAATCATTGACAAGCTACTAATGACTTAAATTTTGAAGCTAAATCGTGACTCATTAAGCAATTCAACAGTTAAAAGAATCCACAGATCATGCGAATTGAACTCATGGTTGTCACGCATACCTCAAATGTAAATAATCAATCACAAATTGCACACATTAGTCAAACCCGACTACTCTATTTATTAGATCATTGAACCAATACCTCAAATGTAAATAGTCATTCAGTAATTACACACATCGGTTAAACCCAACTGCTCTACTTATTAGACCATTGAACCAATACATCAAATATAAATAATAATTCACAAATTACACATTGGTTTCACCCGACTGCTCTACTTATTAGACCACTGAACCAATGGGAATGCCAGATCCATATAACTGGGATGAAACAGAAATATTCATCTGTTTTTCATTCATATATAAAATCCATATTACAAATTATTGTAAAATACTTTGATGTAGAAAAAAAAGTGGCAAATTTTATGGAGCAGACAAACCGTCCCACATTAAAAGTGCAACGGAGGACAAAGAGGCAATGGTAGAGACAAGATGGTTTTGAGTGCAAACTACTTTGGTGATCTGAGGACCAGTGAGAAACCAACACTAGAAGCTCCACCACCAAGATGGAAACACCCTCAGGTGAGCTCCCAGTTGGGAGGAATTTTTGGGTTCCCCCAGGTGAACCCAAAAAATGCACCACTCCCCAGTTAATAAGCTCGAATGCGTAAAGATGATCAATAGCCTGGACACCATCAATAGGAGTAGCTCTCTCCCTCTGTGTCTGTGTGCTTGTGTGTGTGTGTGGCCCATACAATTGGGAACCAACAAAGAACTAGAGCATTTCATAGGCCAAGAAAATTGTCCACTTGACACCCGAAATTAGTTTCAGATATTCTAACAAGGAATTTAACTAAGTGCTGTAATTAACATCGTACATCAATTGAACTCAACAAGTATTTTATTTCAGTCTTTGTCATTCAAATAGATGGAGCAATCAATCCAAGAAAATGCAGTGATGTTTTTCATGTATAAGGTAGGGGAAAAGGAAACTGATCAAAAATCCCACCAAATCGAACTGCCTCATCTGCCGATTGTTTCCACCTGGGCGTGATTCTCAGAGCCATTTATTTGCCCCGGGCCTAAACCACCACAAGTTATCAAGAAGCAACCTTATTTGAGGTCACAGAATTAATAATGGTTGCAAACTCGGGACCCTGCATAACATAAAATCAACTTCAGTACAGTTCACCTTCTGCTTGCGGCCATCTTAATATAGTGACATTGCAATACATACAACACGAAAAAGTTGAAAACAATTCCTATTTTTACATGTAACACTATTTGTATCCTTACAACTTGTTGCATCTTCTGCAGTCTTACCAAACACGTATGATGCACTAGGCTACATGTTCAAAAATACAACCCCAAGGATGAGTGCACACCCCTTTGATTGAAAAAGAAAAGGAACGTTTACAAAACCGGGTAAGAGATAATATACTGTGAGGAGAAGGGGTGATTAAGAGCAATTTATTTATTTATTTGTTGTATTTTGTGATTTTCAAATTTTTGTTTTAATTTTTAGGTGCGTGAGAAACTGGAAGTAATGAAGTTTTTTTTTCCCCTTATTTTTGGGCTGTTGTGGTACTTCCTGAGTACATAGTTAAGCTCCTCAAGGCACTTTTATTTTGCAACCAAAATTTTTTTTAACAGAAATTATTATTGTAGAACAGCACATGAGGCAACAAAGAAACAGTGCTCAACAGGATATTGACATCAAAATAACAAATGGCAAGACAATACCTTTAAGGAAGCACCACCGACGAGGAATCCATCAATATCTTCTTGTTTTGCAAGTTCAGCACAGTTGCCACCATTTACAGACCCTGCAGAAGAAACTTGCATTCTAATGAGTAACTATGGGAGAAAGCAGTAAACCAATACCATAGAAAATCCTGGATCATTCAGCCAAACTGAGCTGCTAAGGGCAGAGATGGTGAGCAGTAGCAAAATTTTGCAAGCTCCAGCATTATGTTTTCATCAAAGCCACTTGTTCAATTTAGTGGTCAAATGGTCTTTCTTTCCAACTCCTCAACAAAATGTACATAAGCCGGACACTATACTCTTTTTTTTTTTATCCCTGGCTAGTGACATTGCTCAAGAATGTAAACATTCTTAACAGAGATCTAATAGAGTTGCATACCATATTATGAAATTGATTCTTAAAAAGAGTGAAGGCTACGAGATTTTCTTTTTCTACAGATCTTGTTTTATGGTATACCTAAGCTTGCAAAAGAATATTCATGTGATGGAACAGAAAGAAAAAAAGCATGGAATATCTCCGTAGATAATCCGTGTCTTTGACGCAACTTCTGCAGAAACATTCTTTGTAAGCCAATCACGAACTGCTAAATGAACTTCCAGGGCCTGCTCTGGTGTGGCCACTTTACCAGTTCCAATTGCCCCTACCGGCTCATATGCAATGACGACATTATCCCAACTGAGTACAGCATCTGGACATTTGCGACATGAGTTACTTAATTAGGGAAAAGAGCAATGTTTAATTTCTCAGTACATTGGAAAATCTAGTGAAAAATAAATGATTAAGAAATTTGCCTGCAAAAGCCTTCATTTGCTGAAAACAAACGTCAAAGGTTTTGCCTGCTTCTCTTTCTTGTAACAGCTCTCCAATGCAGGCTATTACTCCCAGATCCTGGCTCAAGGCATAAGCAGCCTTCTTTCCTATAAACTGAATGTCACAGCACTTGAGTCAAATTCGGAAAATATAGCCATTATTCAGCATGAAACACAACCAACCAATCCAGGAGACCAACCCAATGACGTTTATAAATTTCCTCGCCTGTTTGGTATTATTTTCTTAAAATTCAGCGCAAATGAAGTTGTTAGTTCAATTGTTTACCTGGTCATCTTCTCCAATTACATGTCTCCGTTCAGAATGTCCAAGAATAACCCACTTGCATCCAATATCCTTCAACTGTTCCACACTGTAAAATGGAAAGGTCTATTTGTTCATTCATGTGATGTGAGGCTACCAGACTAGCGTCATGTGCTAAAGTGCATACTCAAATCAAACAACAATATGAAAGAATAAAGGTAACGTTGGAGATATAACAGTAGGCTAATTTTTTAGGGCTTATTAAATTTTTTTTTTTTATCCTATTTTATGTTTCATTGGCTATATATACAGGATTCTACACTTAATTTGTATCTTTTTTTTGACTCACATATTTCTTTAGTCGGTATCAGAGCCAAAACCATAGTCCCTACCTCTAACCCTAACCCTAGCCTCCTATACCTTGTTACCAGCCCAACAACCACCTGTGCCGTCACCAGCAGCGACAGGAACCAGCAACAGCCGTTGCCCTGCAACCCCAGCCACACCCATACACCATCAGCCACTCAGCGAACTGCCCACTGCCCCAACACCCATACCTAGTCGAAACCGATGGCACCCAGTGTAACCATAATCCTTCCAGCAATAATAATAATAATAAAAAAAAGCAACTCACAACCGACAACCAACAAGCCTACACAGCACCGACAATCAGCCACCCAACCCACTGCCCTGACAAATCCACAGCCTGCAACTCACAAAACTCACACATCAAACCAATCAGCCAAAGCCACCAACTGCCATCAGCTACCAGCGAAACCACATCGACGCCATTAAACCTTTAACTTCCAGCAAACATATACCAACATATACCAAGCAGCCCACTGGCCAGTCCCAAGTCCACAGCCCACTGCCCAGTCCAGCCCAGACCAGCCCCAAACCAGCCCCTCATCAACCCGTTATCGAGTCACGTTTATCTTTTCGTCATAGTGTCGCTATCTTTTCGCACCACCTTTTTTTCTAGAGTTGTAATATCTAGGCCTTTTTGAGGAGGCATCAGATCCTCTTCTCCGTTGATTTACTTTTGATGCAGTAGATCACTTATATATTTTTTAGATTTCTAGGCACTATGACTTGATTATTTTGGAGCTTTTTGGACCTTCTTTATCTGTCGCTATTATTCGACTTGACGTATATTATTCTCCCTTATTTTATCTCACTATTTATCTTAGAGTTATTTTTTTCCTGTCACGGGTGCTCACGTATTATTGTTGTCATGGCTATTACTGAGGGACAAGAGATTCCTACCGTAGAGACCTTTACTGTTGAGGCTTCTATTAGTACTTCTACCAGGCCTGTACTGTCTGCTTCTCCTACTTTGATATTTGACCAATACACAGTACCTACTAACACAGTTACTTTACCGGCAATGTCGGGAATGATCTCTCAGAAGGTTACGACACAGTTGTTGAATGATCGTAACTTTGCTAAGTGGTCACGTTCATTCCAACTTTTCTTGGGCTGTGTAGGGAAGCTTGGTTGGCTGACGGAATCTCACCCAAAGCCAGTTGATGCCGACCTTGGATATTCTGCATGGTTCTCTTAGAACTAAGTCATTCTTAGATGATTATTTGGCTCGATGGAGCCATCTGTTTGCAGGATACATCAGTTTCATAGCTCTGTTCCGAAATTATGGAGCGCATTATCAGAGATGTATTTTTAGTCAGGACGAGGAGTTCATGTTTATAAGCTTTCTCAGGAGCTTTCATATGCTCGACAGGGAGTTATGACACTTCAGGATTATCATGGTTATTTGACCCAACACTGACTTGAGTATGAGACTCTATGTCCTCTTGTTGTTATTCCGAGGATAGAGCCTGAGGGAGTAGCATTCTTGCATACTCGAGAGCAAGAGGATAGGATTCACAAGTTCTTTATGGGGCTTCGTGATGAGTTTGATGGACCTCGTTACCAAATCTTATAGATGTTGATACTTCTTTCTTTTTATGAGATGTATGCGATGATTGAACAGTATGAGCACTGCGTCTGTATTGCATCACTTCCAATTATGACCTTGACTCCTCCAACTGATCATATGACCCTTGCAGCAGTTGCAGGGTCTTGTTCAGGATCCTCAGTCAGGGGTGGGCAGCGCTCAGACCAGCACCATCAGGGTGCCCCAGATTAGCGCAGATAGGGGAATTCTCGCTTTAGTGTTGTAGTTGTACGTTTAGGTTTCACCAGATGTCATTCTGATAATACCTGTTTCATTCGACAGAATATTTCTAGACAGTGTGTCATCTTTTTGGTATATGTTGATAATATTATTATTACTGGAGATGATGTTTATGGGACTACATAGGTCAAGATAGACCTTGGGAAGGCCTTCGATGTGAAGGACCTTGAATTTTTGTGATACTTTTTTGGAATTGAGGTTGCTCGTAGCAGCAAAAGTATTATTCTTTTTCAGAGAAAGTATGTTCTAGATCTTCTCTCAGACACTGGGATGTTGGAGTGCAAACCGACATAATCACCCATGATTCCAAATCTAAAGCTTATTGTTGAAGGTGAAGAGTTGAGAGGTCCGTCTATCTATAAGAGGTTGGTAAGTAAACTTATTTACCTAGCCAACACTAGGCAAGACATTTCATTCGCTGTCAGCTGAGTTAGTCAGTTTATGCACAGACCGGCATCATCACCCATGATTCCAAACCTGAAGCTTACTGCTGAAGGTGAGGAGTTGAGAGATCTGTCTGTCTATCAGAGGTTGGTAGGTAGATTTATCTACCTAGCCAACACTAGGCCAGACATTTCATTCGTTGTTAGCCGAGTTAGTCAGTTCATGCACAGATCATGTCAGCCTCATCTTGATACAGTTTATCATATTCTTCAGTACTTCAAGTCTTGTCCTGGACTTGAGTTGTTCTATGCATCAGGATCTCAGACTGGTTCTCTAACCTGTTATTCAGATTCAGATTATGGGGGAGCATGTGACGGTCGATCAACTACAAGCTTCTGTGCTTTTCGAGGGACTCATCTTATCTCTTGGAAGAACAAGAAGCAGTTAGTTGTCTCTCACTCGTCAGCAGAGACAGAGTATTGGACACTAGCACTTGACACATGTGAGATTATCTGGCTACGATCGATTCTTGGCGAGTTAGGATTTTCAGTGACTTCTTCATCTACATTATATTGTGATAATCGATCTGCTATTCAGCATGTTTTTGACTCTGTATTACACAAGAGGACGAAGCATATAGAGATCGATGTTCACTTTCTTCGGGATAAGGTTAGCAGTAGTATTGTCACTCTATGGTTTGTGAGGACCAATGATCAGGTTGTAGATGTTTTTACCAAATCTGTCACTCTATCCATTCTTCGGGACTCTGTTGTCAAGTTTGGCTTAGTTGATATTTTTGCGCCTAACTTGAGGGGGAGTGTTGGAGATATAGCAGTAGCCTAATTTATTAGGGTTTATTAAGTTTTCTCTTTTTATCTTTTTATCCTTATTATAACTTTTATTGACTATATATACAAGATTCTACATTTAGTTTATATCCTTTTTTTTGACTCACATATTTCTCCAGTGACAAAAACAATTGAAAGAATCCGGATTAGCCCAGAAAACAGGTCCATCCAAAAATGAAAACCATGCAGTCCGTGTCATGGTCAAAATCACCACATTTATATGCAACATGCCAACTCTATTCCAAGCTAATGAGATACATAAAGCTAGCTTCCATGTTATCCTTCCTATCCATAGGCATGCATTAATGCAGGTTTTGCTTTTTCTTCAGCATGGCAAACAAATTTGTCCGGATGTGCGTACAATCACTAACCGCTGGAAAGACTTCCTCAGTATAGTCTGTTGAACGCACATCATCACATTGGAGATGGGCCGTCCAATCATCTCTGGAAGTATCCATGCTATATAACTTCAGGAAATCCCACCCTCAATCCTTAATTGTTGAAACTTCCACAATTGATGGGTTAAAACAATCAGCTGATCATTAACAACTGAATCAAAATGTTCCATGATTTTCTCGACCAATCATAACTAATTAACTGGTTCCTTGCCTTATGTTCTATTTAATAAGTGTGACTTATTTTTAAAGTCGAGTGAGTTTAATGAAATATTGCCCAATGGAGGTTTTTTGTGTCGTAGATGTATTGAAAACTTACATTGATGGAGGAGGCGTAAAATAACTATTCATTGAATACACCCCTAACATGTGATTGGGAGGTCCATTCATGTGATTGTGTTTTGAGGACCAATTTAAAAGCTTATTTATTTCAGAATAAAGGTAAGCCACATGAAAGGGACTCCCTTAAGTCATTAAACATTATCCTTAACAAAGAGCATTCTCCGAATTGGGTGCAATAGAGGGTTGCAAGTCATAAATATTGAGCCCATCAAGAATAAAGAAGCTAACCTGATTTCTCCGGTAAAAGCCCCACCTTTTCCTGTCCATGAATTTTGAGCAGCTATATCAATCCCATCTGTTAATGAATTCTTGACTTGCTCAATGTAAACAAAGGGAGGAGCTACAACGACATCTGTAGAGGTCAAAGGATAGAATTAAGGTCAGAAAACTTCTGGATTCAAAATTGACTAAAGGGTAATCAGAAACTACTTTTGCAACTTCAAGAATAGCACGGTACATTAAACAGAAGAAGACAAGAAGATCAATAAAATAAACAACGAGAATGGCCTCTCCTCCACTCTTCTCTCTCTGTAAATCCTGGAATACATACTGCCGACTAATAAGTAACTCACTTCAAAAAATGAATGAATCATCCTAATTGGCATTCAAAAGCCGTAAGCAGATGAGATTATGATTCAGTGATTTCCCTTTACGCCATTATCATCTCTCGTGAGTTTTAAAGGCTATACTTGTAGGGACAACCACATTTTTATATCACAGATACTTAGGAGCTAGTGTACTATGGGTCTCGACTCCTCAAGCCAAGCATGTAGACAAAACAATCAGCAGGTTGGATGATCAGATAGCACATGCATCAAAAACAAAAGAGTAGTCTTGCCTATAAGCTTGAAATACTTCATAGATATATAGAAGCCAGCATAGCAAGGTCAAAATTGAAATTGACTAAGTACTTGTATATGAGCAAGAGTGCATTTTAATAAACTGAAGCGCAACAAGCTTAGGCCCTTTCACATGCTTACTGAATGAGAGAATTTGTAAGCAATAATAACTACACACTCGTATTAAATAATAGTCATTGCATCTAAATGACATTACACATTGAAAGCAGAAGACAACTCATCAACACACTCTTCTGGAAAAGGATAACTCACCAACATCAGTCTCTAACTTGGCACTGTTCAAGTCCAATACAAGCTTGGTAATGGAGTCTTTGGTTCCATTCTATATAAAAATATGGATCACACTCATCAGTAAAGACAATAAAAACTAAAATACCATTCAACATCCATCAGCATTGTGATTTAGTAAAGAAAAAGTAAAAAAAAAGGTTTCAAAACCACTAACAGATTAAATATAGTTTCTTTTACTCCTCAAATTATTTAAAGAAGTATAGAATTCCCCAGCCAAAATAATATTTGGCGAAAAAAGAACATAAACATGAACCGAAAATGAGGCATGGAGAAAGACAAAGATACTTACACACTTCCAGTTGCCACCGACAAAGAATTGCAAAGAAAAGAAAGAAGGTGAAAGATTAAACTTTTGACATTAAAATAGGGGAATCAACTTGATAACTAAGAAAGCTAAAAAAATTATAAGTTGAGGGCCACCTCCTTCATAGAATAAGAATTATGACTAACTGACAGATGTAAAGAAACTTAATAAACTATAACAAAGAACAGAGAGAGATTGAGGTCATTGCTCGGTGCAACCGATTATAGCTGGGGACCTGGTTTATGTCAATAGCCGGGTTCCAGACAGAGATTCCAGAAGCAGCAACTTGTTCTCCAAGTCGTAAGTTCACCAATTCTTTTGCAGGTCTTTCTTCTATTATAATCTCTTTCGCAGAAGATATAGATTAATCAATCGAAGTCAGGGGTGCAGCGACATAAAAGGGAATACCATGATGCATTTCACACAACGCAAGGCTGTAAGTACCAATGTTAGTGGCAGTATCACCTAGGTCAAAATTCTAGTCAATCAAATGTTTTTTTTTTCATAAAAACTCAATGCAGATGCATAAATAACTGTATTGAACTACCACTAGGAGCCACGCGATCGGCTCCAACAATGACAGCATTCACACATCCAGTTTTCATCGCAGCAGCAGAATCTGCTATTAGAGTGGCAGGTATGTTGTCATGCACCAACTCAAATGCTGTCAGCCTGGAACCCTGAGGTTGATTGAAGAAGAATTATAAAGTTAAAGTAAACATATTCATATCAGAAATAAAGAGATAAGATGTAGATAAATTAGCAATGGCCAGGTGGCAAGCATCAATTCAGTGGGAGTAACTCCTATAACAAGTTTAGATTCTAGAAGCCTGGAAACCACATTTCAGAACATAACATCCTCACACAATCGCTCACCCATCTTTGGATTTCTCTTTTTCTCATTGTGTATGTATGGGTTGTCTAAACATGGCTGCTATCATATCTTGCCAATTGTGCCAGGGTGTCCATGACATACTTTCGGTTAAGACAGACTTATTTGGAGTCAAGACCAGTCCCCTACGATGCATATGATCACCCTCCGAAACCTGTATGCATGCAATAGGTCAGCACGGGAGAGTTGGATCACCCCTTCCAAATTTGTTACAAACAGCAAAAACTGTTGTCGTTGGAACTAATATTGTCAGCCCCATCAATTAGACAAATAGAAAACAGATTTCATTATCTCTTCAGTCCTGCAAGAAATTATTCTGCTTCAGGAAGGTATTTTCTATTTTTTAAGTACCAAGCTTTATTTTTTCAATGGTACATTATGTTTTGGATAAATTCAGCTACAATATTTATCTTTGACATATACAAGCCATCTAATCTCACTTGTCATCTCCGGTTTTGAGTGCCGTAGGTGAGCAGCAGGAATTGGATGCAAAAATCAAGGTTTTCTGATCATCCAATCACTCAATTATGAACTATATGCAATGAAAAAATGTCACTATTCGGCTGCTAAGTCATCATACTAATTTGAGGTTTTACTTCAATTTAAAGAGAGAACCATCAGACAATCAGGCACTGGCCCCCAAATTGACCACAGAAATGCTGCACAAAGGTGATTTTCCTAATAAACTAGGACTGCCATGTGCAACATACATTAGAAAATATGCTATATCAAATTGATCACAGCATCAGACATTTAGAACCTCTTTATATGTCCACTCCAAGACTGTTGGTGCTAAGAACTCCAAATTTCCCAACCATGGTCGTTACATTGGAAATACGTTTATGTTGTAAGGCAGGCTCTGTTAATGAAGCCACATACACACTTGGTTTTTTTTTTTTGGTCAAGCACATACTTGGTTGAATGGACAGGTTCCTGTACAGTATGCCCTTTCTAGAACACCTTCAGCATAAAGTGCATGGATCACACCTAAAGCAGTCCCATATCCAGCTGTGGCAAGACTATCAAAACAGTATAAATTACAATCAGAACAATTCCATGTGGGAAGCTCAGCTACCAATTTAATTGCTTTTACCTTTGCTATTTGGCATAATACTATAAATTGGAATGCCAATAATGATGAGGATGACAAAATAAAAACTGACTATGTGTTGGGTAATTTTTTTTTTTTTTGGTGGTTGGGGGTTACCTGCCAGTGTTGCAATGGGTCAAAACAGATATGCTCTTAAAGTCTTTCAGCTGCTGCTGAAGAAAACTGGCTCCATAAGATCCAATTGCTTTATTGGAAGCAACATCATCTTTGAGCATAATTTCAGCAGCTTCAATGTAAGCCTATGTTGAAACGAATTGTAAGTGCATCAGAAAAATGAAAACCAAATGAAGAAAAAAATTAATCCGTTAATGTCACAGCATAATAGTGTCTCTACCTGGAAAACAGTCCTGGCTCCACAAGTAGTGGCAGCAACCTTCTTGCAACTTCTTTAAGTTTTTTTGCAGCATCTGAAAGATTCACGGCAGTTGGCCGGCTGGAAAAGGTGTGCAAGAGTCACAGTTTTACTCATTAATTTACGAAAATGCCATTTAACATATTTTTAAAGCTCAGCCTATTACTAGAGAACAAAGTCTATTTTGTTAACAAGCACTGCATCAAAATTGGAAACCTGACCAAAAATTACCTTGAGACAAGATATTCCAATTTCTTGATAAGGAAAGATGCTGCATCATCAGATGTCCCATTAAAATCCTTTAAGTTAAATAGTTCTACCGCCAAGGAGAGGGCAACAGCTATGGCAATTGCAGGCACGGACCACCGTATCCCTTATTGCACCCCTGATGCAAAGTTTATGGTTTAAAATTTTGGTTGAGATGCATAACATATTATTAACATAGAAAGAAACAAATTATCACTAATTAGTCGACAAACAAAAGAAAATCAAAAAAGGGTGATGGCTCTTTCTATGTCAACAGTAATGGTTAGGCAATGAGGTTAATCTCAAAAAAGGTCATCCCTTTACAATAGTGGTTCAGGAACTCATCACAGTTCCTGTTTTGGGGTTCCTCTTTTTATTTATTTTTCTTCTTCCTTGACAGGTAAATAATAGATATCTCTACAATAAGGGAATGATGGCCAAAGAAAAATTAGTAAAAATTCTGAATATACGAGGAAATGAGTAGATGAAATAAATATAATGCCTTTGCAAAATACTTCACAACCAATCTCAATTCCATCCCACCTATAGCTAATAATTAATTGGTATCACAAGACAACAGTACAGAAGGCCTAGGAACGGAGACAAATAAGGAACAAGAAAAGAGGATGCAATATGAAGCTCTTTCCTTTTGTGAGGAAATGGATATAGGGCTGATGAGCAGAAGGACATCCTATTGCATATGGGGCAGACCATACATATGAGATGAAAGATTGATTAAAAAAAGTTTAAAAGAGGGTTTAGAATCATTTTCTAGTAGTAGCAACCGATACAGCCACATACAAACGCTATGTCCTAAACTTGCCATAATAATGCCTAGCAATCGAGACAAATCAAAGCATGTTCAGATAACCGTACCATTATTAGTTCCTTCTCTAGATACAAAAAAATAAAAACTAGAAAGGCACAGGTGAAAACCCACAAATAATTAGGTCAGTTTTGTAGATCCCAATTGCATTACTCTTCTTCATTTAGGCTCCCCGCTCTAACATCCTCTGCTCGGATCTTTTCAAGCTGATCTGAGCTGGTTTGCATAGTACCCTTCATCAAATGCTGTAGCACATGACAATGTAAAAGGAAGATGCACTCAGCAGGCAACACCTGAAGCATTTTCTCAGCTGGGACAAAGGAACCCTGGTAGACAGGTTTTAATGCTCTCACAAAAAAGCTAAAAACAGTATTGGGTAGCTTTTCAAATTTGTTTGCTTCTTATGGTATTTCCTCGAATTATGAGCCACTACCACCAGCACCTCCCGCACGCTCCACCACTATTTGTCTCATTGCTTGATTGAGTGTGTGCAACACATGACCTGTTATGGGGTCGGCCTTCAAAGTTACTGGAGTATTGTTCCCACTAAGGGCCACCCACTTTGACTATTGCTTGATTTCACCTGGTATTAGTACATATGTGTGAAAACAATATGCTTCTTGTTTAGAAGTGAAGCACTAAAATTTTGGATACTGTCAGATTTTTTTTTTTTTTTCCATTTAGAATTTTCTTGGATAAATGTGTTATGCTCCTCTTACCCTAACCCAAATGACTATTTTGTTGTTGAAGATGGTGGGCTTCTCAAAATGATTATGGAGAGAGCCATGATGGGGTGTTTGATATGTCTCTGATAGGCTGTTGGGAGATTTCATGTTCACACTTTTTTGCTCCAGAAGCTGGTAGTGGTGGATGAAAAGCGGTGAAGAAAAACTGAAACAGTTATTTCTTTGTCCTGATCTAGCCATGACTATGTGAGACTATTATTAGCTTAGTTTGAATAACGTGGTTAAAGATGTTATTGCACACTTCGTTTCTGATCTCATACAGCCAAGCCGAACGGAAAGAAAGTTAAACGTCCATGCTAAACAGAAGAAACATGATAAGATAGAACAAGAAAACTCTCTCTCTCTTAGGAAACAGTGTTCCATCTCAATGAAGCAGATTTGTGGAAGTGTTGATGGATTGGTTTGAAGATTCAGCCCTGAGATGAGCTGTATTGCATGAAAAATCTTCCAGATCTCCCAAAGCAGTAAAAGGGCTGCCAAGTTGGAGATCAGTGAGCATTCGGCGAAGCTCAGAAGCTTCTTCCTTGAGCCGTGCATTCTCTTGAACAACTATGTCATGGCTGTCTGATACACAATTCAATTTCTCGATGAGATCATTATTCTCAGTTTTAAGCCGAACCACCTGTGCCCAGAGCTCATCTAGGTGCCTCTGTTTCCGCATGCGCGACCTGCGAGCAGATTCTCTGTTGGAAACCATCCGCCTCTGCTTTCTTTCATCGATGATGCTAAGTTGGTGCTCCTCTGCTTCATCAGAGGTTGAGTTATTGCCGGCGCCTGAGGACTGCGGAGAAAACTCATAGAAAGGAGAACATGTTTGTGAATTTGGTAAGTTGGTTAAGAATCTGGTGAAGTTGAGTGATGGCATATTGTTTTGCATCAAGCTAAAGTTAGTGGAAAATGGGGATGCGTTTTCAGGAGCTAGACAGTAGATTCCTGCTGCCTCAGAGTGCAACATGGCTAAATATATTAGAGGCCACACCTGAAGGTTTGTTTTGCAGATAACGTTGAGAGTGTGGGGGAGGACAGAATGAAGAGTGAAGGGGATTTATAGAAGGCTAGAGCCAGTGGGCCAGATTCAGCCACTAAATGTAACAGTATCAGGGGCTTACCAAAGTAGAATGTAAACATCCATTGGAATAGCATTTAAAAATGTGTGATGTATCCATAATGATTGTGGATGTTTTTGTACAATATTTTATTATGATGTATGAATTCAAAACACAGTGAGAATGGAGTTAACCTATGGCTAAGCCTGGTAGCTCTAGAAAATGCAACCGTTACTGCAAAACAGGGGTAAGAGTTGGGAAACAACACAGATTACAGTGGCTCATCAGCTGAAGAGTTTGGCTAGTCCATTCTAATGAAGTCGTTTACTCCTTGGGAGGTTTTCTATTTCTTGGGGGAAAAGATAGAGTTACAATTACAGAGATTTCAACTGGGTGTTTTGTATGAGGGTATGCCTCTTAAATTTATACCCATTGGTAGAGTGATGATCTCCAAGTTTGTTAAGATTTTGTTGAGGGCATATTGGGCCGTTAGAACTTACATTTTCCAGGTATGATGTAACCTTCTAGAATATGTTGAGGTGGTATCATGGCCAGTATTCAAGTTTAGATATGTTGTAGTCTTCCATATCTTATGAAAGATCATATTGTAACGCCGTTTTGTTTAGAATGACCTTTAGTATTTCTAGTCAGTTTGTGAAAGAATGAGTTCGATCCAAACACCTGACCTGAAACCTTCAAACCAATCCATCACCCAAGGCTTGGCCGTCTTACCCTACATCACCCGTGTGCGATACGAGGTCTCAAAATTCACCCAAGTTATGTGACTGAAACTGTCTGCATAATTCTCATCTTGTGATTGTGTTGTAGTCGAACTTCACCTTTGAAAGTTCAATCCAAACTACACATGATCCAGGCTCATGCTTAATCAATATGCCAAACAATTTATGCATTTAAGGTGAGTATATGTAACATGTCAAGGTGTATTCATGCATATCCATTGTATCATCATGCATGTGCATGTATATTCAGATAATTTGAGTTGTGGATAATCATTGAGCATCATATGTGATGCTTACATAGGGCAAAAGTTTATGTATGTGTGCAATTATTTGGGTGGGGAATGTCTTGGATGAACAAGAAAAACAAAGCAAAGGTGAAAAATAGTTTTAAAGTCAATGTTAGAAGAGTTTTCTTTGTAGAAGCTTAACCAATTTGAGAATAAATTGAACTCTTTCATCCAATTACACCTTGTGATTGATGACGAAATGTAGGTCAATTGGACAGGTGGGTCATTGTTTATTAGATGGAATTTTGATTACCAATTTTTTTATTACAATTTGATGACTCAAATGGCACTTAAACTTGGGATAGGAGGGACCCAAGTGAATGACATTGTATAATGTTAACATCAACCACCTAAATGCTGGCATCTCATTTTTCTTAAACCTCTACCTTTATCCGAGGTTGTATATATTTAAATCCCCTTAGATCTCGCGGTGATGAGAGTTTCGTGCATTAAACTGTATTGTTTTGATTCCGGTATGACCTTCTAAGTACTTAATCTCAGCTTTCTCCCCTGTTTTTATTGATTGCATATGTCCATTGATTAGCTTTGTTTGGATATAGGTTTGTTTTGTCCAGACAAAGTCCATGTAAAAGGGCAACCCCAATGGATAGCTCAAGTGACAGAGTTGAAAATTCAGATATCCTGAATTCAAATTTTGACTATCTTTTGAAGCCAAGTCAAGTCACAAAAAACTTATCACCCATGAATACTCTAGCCTGAGAGTGAATGGTCTGTTTTTTATCAGACCGAAGAAAAAATTATTTGAGATGCGCGGAAGTTAATTTGAACACCCCTGACCGTTGAACTAACAAAAAAAAGTCCATGTAAGGGCAATGCCAAATATTTCGTGGACAAAATGCCACGAAGATCACTAGATTGCTTCGGAGTAGAGTTTCGGTCAACTGTCAACCAAAATTTTCATCCCTAAGCCGTAAAAGGGTTTTTTTTTTTCTCTCTCTCTCTAAGGTACAATTAGACCCTAGAATGTGTGTTAAGGCATTGTTAGCCCAATCTTCCACATTCAAAAGATTTTATCAAGTGATGAATTTGGTGGGTTTTTTTTTTCTTTTGTTGGGAGGGGGGGGGGGGGAGATTCGTGGGAGGGCTCATCCCCTAAGGTCCAAACTAAATTCCTAAACCCGTCCTTAATTTTGTTATTTTTTCATGCACTTTTTTTTTTGTCAAACACAATTAGAGAGGAGGGGGACGATGAGGTTTGATCATATAACCTTAAGGTTTAACAATAAGAATGGTAGTCATTAGACTAATTGCTATCTTTTTTTCATGCGCTTCTGCCAACTTATAAATTACACCATTTTCTTACGTTTCTCTCCTATCTAGCAGAAATAATATTGAAAACAAGCAAACATTCTTAAATGTTTCTAATTGTGATCATCATCTGAACTACTCAAACCATTACATAATAATTTCTTCTTCTTTCTAAACTAACAAGGTGTAGGGTCTCATTAGATTGGCTAATTTGAGTGTGGAATTGTTGCCAACCCATTTGTCCCCTGGGACCCACGACCAGTATGATGAGAGAAGGCATCAAGAATAAAAAATTTGCATTCGAATCAAAAAAGTTTTGCCAAATCTTAGAGGCAGCAACTTGCAACCGCATATGTTTCCTGCCATTTGTTATTGGAGTTGTGCCGTGTTTGGGCTCATATATATATATGTGTGTGTGTGTAAACATATTCTACCACCACCTTGGTTTATGTATTCTTAGTTTAGGTGAGTACCCACTAAACACTTTCTCTATGGTGCAACTTTAAACTTGGATAAGGATTAGGAACTAATAAAGAACAGGGACTTCACGCAATCCATCGGAAATGCAGAATCAAAGAAATAAAAATGGAGATTCTCGTATTTAGTAAGTTTGGAAAAAGTAAATCTAACATACAATTTTTATCATTATTTTAATAAGATTGATTCTTATATTCGAATTAGAAACAATGAAGTTTGAGACAAATAAGTTATAAAGAATGTTATAGTTATAGTTATTTTGATGATAATGATTCCTAAGCTTGTACCCTTGAGATGTCACTTGAGATTTGAGAAAGTTATAAAAAAAACTCAAGTTTCATGCACATCCGCATCGCCTATGAGCAAAATAATATGTTTACAAGCTTTAAATAGTGGCAGGTACTATGTATTATGTAGGCAAATAGGAAGAACTAATTCATTTCGTAATCCCCACTACTAGTTTTAGTATAATCTTAAGAGGAAAAAAAAAATACTTGCATGCCTTTCGTTCAAGCCCAAAACAAAAAAAAATGACACAACGCAACCAAAATCTTTAAACTGCCAATGTCTCTTGCGATGCACGAGACATATATTTTGATTTCATTTTATGAATATGGGAAGTTGGATGAAAGGATCGATGATGAAAAGTCATAAATGTGGTGGTAAGTTGAATGAGTGATTAGTATGACATGTAGAAGATTTTGGTTGGTGAAAACTTCATTTTTTAGTTTAATAAATTCAAAATTCTATAATTTAAAAAAAAAAAAAAAAGCTCCTTCGAGCTAATGTGATTTCTATGCTATATAGTACTAGATCAATCGAAAATATTAATACCTAAGAGGACATCAAATAAAGGAAACACAAAAGTCAATGGTAATTTTTTTTAAAATAGTATAGAAATCACAAAACTCAAATTTGAAAATACCCCCGCTTGAAGTTTTGTTTGTATCTATTGATAACTTATTATACGATCTATTGTTGTTTACATGATAACTTTCTATTAAAATATGTTTTGAAAGCACTTTTTTCGCACTAAAAGACTTGTTAAGATTGTTAGAGAATTTTCACGAAATTCTCAAATCTATGAGAAACAAAAAATAGAGAAAACAAACGTTAAAGAAAAATAATCACATGTACAAGATAGTATTTATGTAATTCGGCAATTTGCCTATGTCTACGAAACTGCAGGGATTTTACTATTGAGAAGAAGGAATATATAGGGCGGCCGTACAGTATCAATAAATTTTAATCACAAAAAATAACAGTTTTTATATGTCATGCGCATTAGGCTACAAAACATGCTCAAAAAATTTCAGAAAATTTTTCATTAAACATCACGCAATATTATTTCAGGTCGGATCGTCATCCGGATCAACACAAACTAGACTCTACAAAAATCCAACAAAGATCACGCTTTAATGTAAACAACCGTAACATAGAAAACAAGTTATAAAATTACAATATAAGTGAAATTATTTTGCAAGATAATTGCAATTTGGTGCAAAAAACTCCGTTTTATATGTGGATAATTGTCGAGGACTATAGTCATAGTTATACATTACTTGAACAAGAGGCTTGTAATAGGGACATTGTAATTGAATGAATGACCCACTAGCTAGACCTCACAAAACTAAGATGAAGGTCCCATTAGTAATTCCCTACGAGACGTGTTGACATTCATACATATATATATATATAGAATCCAATAGATATAGCGATGAATGATTTTTTTGGGCTAAGATTGACAAAACTCAAAATTGAGGGGATTCAAATTAATCAACGAATGGAGTGGTGGGTCCATGCAGAAGTGAGGAGACTACATCAAGGCCCCGGGTTGAACCCACAAATGAAACAACATAACATGAAGAAAGGAAATGATAAAGAGATGCCATTTATGGTTGCTTTCATGTTCTTCCTCTGTAATGTTGTAATCTTGGTGCAAGTGTAGCTCTGCCTAGAGTATAGTGGGTTATTTCTTTTTGGAGAGAGAGAGAGAGAGTCCTGGCTTAACGATAAAGTTGTTTTATTGTGACTTAAAAGTCACAGATTTGAATTGCGAAAACAATCTCTCTATTTGTAATGATAAAACTAGTTGCATCTATTTTTTTTTTAAATCTCACAATAACGAGAGTCTTGCGTACTGGATATGCCCGTGAGAGAAAAAGAAAGATTATCTG